TGTAATGCTTCAAAAGTTATCTTTTTCAAGTACTATACTCAAAATAGTCAAAGGCAAAACAACAGCATGAAACAAATACAAATAAAGGAAAGCAAAGGGGTTTTTTTCACATTTCACCTGAGAAGAGTGAAATCTGGGGTTACTAAAAGATACCTTAAAGCAGTTAGCGTAGCCTTACACTTTGCATCCTTCAGTTGGGAGCAGGTAAAAGGAGGCAGAAGCCAAAGTGCCCTACTACAGGTAATCCTCGACTTACGACCATAATTGGGACTGGAATGTCTGTTGCTAAGCGATGCAGTCACTAAGTGATATGTGCCCAATTTTACGACCATTTTTGCTGTGATCATCAAACAAATCGTGTGGTTGTTAAGCAAATCTGGCTTCCCCCATTGACTTTGCTTGTTGGAAGCCCCCTGGGAAAGTCACAAATGGTGATCACATGACCCTGGGATGCTGCAACCGTTGTAAATACATGCTGATTGCCAAGCACCCAAAGTTTGATCACTTGACCACAGAGACACTGCAATGGTCATAAAAGTGATGACTGGTAGTAAGTCACTTTCTCCAGCACTGTCGTAACTTGGAACGGTTGTTAAATGAATGGTCGTAAGTTCAGGACTACCTGTAGTACTTTTTTTTAAGCAACTCCAATCTCTCCCACGCATGTACAGAGGCATTTACACAATTCAACTTAGATGCTAAAAAGGTTAACACATGCCCACACATACAGGCTTCCTTGCCTGGTGTTATATCTACAAAATAGTAGCAACAGAGCCTCTCTTTCCCTCCCCTCCCCTCCCCATAATACACACTCCCTTACATAACTTCCTTTTAAAAATCCCAAAGCCTCTGTACCCGCAAACACCCCCGTACCTTTCCACAGGGAGGCATATTCGCCTGCACATCATTTACTTCAAAACCGCCTCAGACCCATAGAGAGATTTGGGCCAACAGGGACGCTCCGCTTACTTTAAACCCGCAAAAAACCTCTCTCCACAACCACCACACGTGTATTAGGCGTGTCATACCAATGTGGGCAGAGATACTAGTTTCTCCCCTTTACGTTGCCAGGAGCGGAGGCTCTGCTCGAGCCCCGAGGCCGTCCGGCCCGCCGCCTCCCGCCCCTCTAAGGGAAGACGGCGCTGGCGAAGCTTCGAGAAGCTGAGCTGGGGGGGGCGCCACCGCCCCCCTCCTGCCCCCCCACAGGAGGCCCATCATGGCGGCCGGGCGCCATCTTGTCTCGCGCTTTCCACCCGAGGCGGCTCCGCCCGCCGCCTGGGCCTCGCCCTCCGCCAGCCCGGAAAGACGACGGGGAGCCTCACCGCCATGCCGGGGTGCAGGGGAGGGGAAGCGGGCCTCCACCGCCACCAGCGGACCTCCGGCTCCTCCTCAGCTTCGGCC